ATGCTGATCTGCCGGGTGACCTACATGAGCCGGACGAGTATCCCACCAGCATGCCGTCATACATCCTTGGGATGCAGCTCACTCCAGGGACTTCGCAGGTGACCCCGTCAGGTCTGTTATTGATCAGGGGCACGGACCTTACCGGAGAGGATTGGGAAGCATACTTCCCAAGGTCATCGACCGCTGCTGAGGATCGGCCGACCTGATATTTGGATAGTGGGCACCGGTTGAGTTATGGCTTATCATTACAGGCGCATGTATGTTTTTATTAGTATTAAATTTAAATTTATTTTTTCTTTTCTCATTTATTTTCCATAACTTTATTAATTTTCTTATTAAGGCTTCATCCCCGCCCATCTCTGAGGCCCATTTGTGCGATGCTGACATGGCTGCGACAGATGATTATATTCAGGAGCCCGACGAGACCATGGTAAGACAATTTAAATTGTTGTGACTTAAAATATACTTTCCTATACTGAGCTGACTTATTCTTTTGTAGGTTTCTACTAGAACGACGGCCCCTTCTACCGATCCTGCCAGTACCACTGATGATCATGCTGCAGCGCATCCTACTATAAAGAGGTGCCGTGATGAGGATGATCCTGATAGCGTAGCCGGGCGGGATGGGATGTGCCTCAGGCCAGCGGCTGCATTGAAGCACACAGGCTGTGGGACACATTGATTTTTATTTTTGTATTTTATGTAAATAATAACAATAATTTTTTATGTTTACATAATATGCGCATTATGTTTTGATTTTCCTGTTCCTTCTTTATTTTAATACTACAACACAAACACAAAACATAACAATAAAGAGGTGCCGTGATGAGGATGATCCTGATAGCGTAGCCGGGCGGGATGGGATGTGCCTCAGGCCAGCGGCTGCATTGAAGCACACAGGCTGTGGGACACATTGATTTTTATTTTTGTATTTTATGTAAATAATAACAATAATTTTTTATGTTTACATAATATGCGCATTATGTTTTGATTTTCCTGTTCCTTCTTTATTTTAATACTACAACACAAACACAAAACATAACAATTTAACATAATTTAAATTCAGTACAACTAATGAAAATACATGACACGGAAAATATAAATATAAAGTAGTACACTCAACACATACATGTCATTGTTTAGTCACTGCCGCCCATTATTCTCTGCTCCAACCACTTAAATTTCTCTTCCATCTTATTTTATTCTAATTCTGCCTCTTTCAGTTTCTCCTTCAACTCCGCAATTTCTCGTTTATATTCTTTTTCATATTCACACTATTTTAAGGTCAAATCATGAAGATACTGCAAAGATCGTTTGTAGCATTTCTGCTTATAAGATTCATCAATCCATACCTCAAAATTGTAAAAAGGTTCGTTGAGACCCCTATAAAACTTGTTCACACACATCCAGTAGCGGCGTCCAACTTCACCATCATCCCAATAGTTATTCATCAAATATTTTTTGCCGCACTCGCACCTTGGTACATAAAGGCATTCAGACATTTGTTAAAGTGTTAAAAAAAACCTTGCTTTTATGGAAAGTTTTGATATTGGTTATTGTTAAGCGCAAAAAATAACTAGAATGCGCCCGTTATTTATAGGCAAGGCAACACACATAACGTAGTATTTAACCGTGCTATATATATTCACATAATGTAGTATTTAATCGCGCTATGTGTATTCACATATTTATCAGAAATCTACCTTTAACTCAACTATTTTTGAACTATATTTATCAACTATATTTATCAAATATATTCACATATTTTTCCGTTTTTTAATCCAATACTATTTTTGATTACATGAACGGGAGGGAGAAATTCATTAATTTACTCAACTGGAAAATGTTAAATATCAATAAGATTTAACAAAAATGGAAACATAATTTTATTTGATACTTCTTGCAACATAAACAAAACAGCTACTTATTACAACATAAACTTTTGATAGTTGGGCACATTAGAAGAACACCCACCACGAGCTTGATTACCACCGCCACCCAAACTAGCCAAAGGACATCTTCGACGGTCGTGTCCGGTTTGCGAGCATATACCATATTTGCACGCATAAACAGTATCTGCTAACATCCATTTGGTTCCGTATACACGTTCTCTTCTGCACCTGTATTCGACGCAAATAGTCCTTGTTACACACCATTTTAAATGGTTCCGGCGGCCAATAATGCTCAGCACCCACTGGCTGTAACTGCCCACTATAGGTATTTAAGTAAGCAACAACACTATATTGTTTATCAATGTAGTTGGTTGGCCCTAAACCTGTATGTTGAAAGCACCTGATGGCATGTGAGTACGGCATGTGGTAGATGGACCATTTCCCACAAGAGCATAACCTTCTAGATTTATTTATGGTATGTATATTATTCCTCCGGTTTTGATGGATAGCGGTGCGAACTTCAAAAATATTTCTGTCGTGATCATACTGCAAAAATGAATGTCAATGTGCTCGCCGCCTGCATTTCTCAAATCTCTTCATCGGCAGTAGCATAAATTTAACACCCATTTTCATTTATGACGTTGCAGCTCCCTTTCAACAAACCTCTCCGCCATCTGCTTGAACGACATCCGCACCATGGCAGTGACATGCAATCCTCTTGCCAACTTCAATAACCCGTTGAAACACTCTGACACGTTTGTAGTCAGAACTCCCCATCTTCTTCCACCATCTGCATGCAAAGTCCACTTATGAAGCTCATATCGCATCAACCAATGATAGGCTCTCTCGTCTTCCTGCCTGATAGATTCCATGTGCCTCCGGAATTTATGCTCTTAGTGGTTTATTGCTGCCATCCACATCAAATCATGCAAATCCTTGTTAGGATGTGCCTTCTGGAAATTGGCCTTAAAGTGACTCACACAGTAATTGTGGTAGGCATAAGGTTCTTGCCATCCAGGCAAGTTCTCTACAGAACTTAAGATACCACCATACCGATCAGATATTAGACAAATGCCGGAACGCTGTTTGACAACGTGCTCTTTCAAATGGTTCAAAAATAGCGTCCACGTCTCTTGGCTTTCATTGGCACAAATAGCAAAAGCTAGAGGAAATATTTGTCCATTAGCATCTACTGCAACGGCTATCAACAGCTTGATATCATACTTTCCATAAATATGAGTGCCGTCTATGGATATTACCGGCCGGCAATGCGGAAAACCATTAATTGCTCGTTTAAATGCCCCAGAACACGTAATTGAATATATATTATGGTTTTTCCGGACTCCGCTCAAGCTTCCATTCAACAACCATCCCGGGGTTAAAGTGTTGCAGTGCGGCCATGTACTTGGGTAGAGCTGCAAATGACTTATTCCAGTTACCATAAACAATTTCAAACGCACGTTTGCGCCCGAGAAATGCCTTTCTTTTGGTAATGGTATGGCCATATTCCTGGTGGACTGATGTAATGCACTCTTTGATTTTATACCTTATGGACGCTTCAAGGTATGGAATAAGGACAAGAGAAATCAAGTCAATATCCAAGTTGTAGTGATTCCCATTGAATGTGTCCATTTCACATCTGTGGGTGGGAATATATTTACCCACTTTCCACAGACCTGTGTTCTTCTTGCTCGCACGCAGCATCCAATGACAACCCGTAAACCATCTGCGACAAACAACCTTGTATACATCCGAACTTGGCTCCCATACCGTCATCTCACGACACTCTTTTACGCTATACATTTTCGCCGCCCTGCTTAGGCGCACTTTATCAGGAAAAAGCATGCCCTTTGTCAGCACCGTTGGTCTAGAATCATCCCACATTGTTGTCCGAATTTCATCAAAATCCCTTGTGAGAGCATCCACATCCGGCATACTTAGCAAGTTATTAAGGTAGGGAATCTTCCTTGAATGAAACGACACTTGGGATTCGTACACTCTTGGTCTAACGGGGGGTGGATCATACTCCCTCGTCAAATCAGGTCTTTCATTCTCTTCCTCCTCGTCACCATCCTCACGAGAGAAAGGTATGTCATCTCCGGAATCATCGGCATTGTTGTCATAATCACTGTTCTCTTCCTCATTCTGTGCATATGCCAGATCCCGATTTAATATGTCATTTTCGGGCAATTGAGTGAGGACAGGTGGTTCAACTTGCTCGTTTTCACTGCACAAACAACAAAATAATAAGCTACTGAAACTAATAAATACTTTGCATATAGTTGTATCACTTCACTTACAAGTCGTAACGTGTTGACATTCCTTGATGGACATTATCCTGTTGGTGATGACTCTCGGGTGGACCACCATGATCCAACACACCAGAACTACGCATATTCCAACTGGGCGTGGGTTCATAACTTGTAAAAGTCATATCTGATCGTACCCCCTGTGGAATATATGAGTGTTAATACAAATTCAATACAACAAAAATATATATCGTAACACTAAGGAAAATTGAAGTTTACCACGCGTCTTGTAGATTATGGAAAGCAGGAGAGAAATTATTTCCTTGCTCCTCATTCGCCCGTGGTGATAAGTTTAAATCAGGGCAAACTCTTTCATCCGGAACCTGTTCGGCAAAAACTGCTCCAGAATAACCACCCGATGACTGAGGGTTATCCCTACTATGCACAACCTCATTATTGCGAACGTCTTTGACCTTGACGTACATTTCCAATATTTTTATCACAAGAAATTCCCGGTATTCATCCGGAGTCCTCAAAAAATCCCTCAAAGTTTCATCATCGTCGATGTTAAACTCAGCGTAACAAGCAACTCCTTGCGGAGTGACAGAATACAGATATCTTCCGGTTACTTTAAGGTTCACCGAACATTTCATCACGCTCATTTTATTACATAACAACGATACCAATCTATCGTACTCCATTGTAAGTGGCAACTTAACATGACACTGTGGAGATAAACTATAGCTCACAGAGTTATTCGCCACCACAACCTCACCTCCCCCCTCCCAATATAATGAAACCCTTACTTTTCGCTCTTCAGACATTATGAAAAAATGCTTGAGAATTTAACAAGAAGAAAAATTTGAACGAGAGTTAGGAATATTTTTGAATGGATTTTTGTAAAATCCTAACGCCTTTAAATAAGGCAATGCCTAGCTCGGTGGGCTGAATTTTTTAAGGTATAACGCTCTTTTAAAGAGCGCTATACCCATTTGAATTATTGTTATGTCAGTTAAAAACGCAAGAGACTTATTGGTGGGCCCACAAAACAGGTATAGCGCAGTTATATACTGCGCTATGTATATAGCGCGGTTTACAGTGGCGTTATATATATATATATATTTATATATATATATAGCGCTCTTTAAACACTCTTTTTTATACAAATGTCACTCTTTTTTTTAAACACTTATTTCCGTCACACTTATCCAAAAGAACCACAAATGGGTCTAGGTTCGAACTAGCACCTACACCTTCCCTCCTATTCCTACCCTCTCTTTCCCTAAGAATAATACTTCAAACCCCACCATTTTTCTTGACAAATACTCATCATCCGACGAGGACGAGGACGGTTATGAAGATGATGACCACCAAAAAAACGAGTACCTTCAAATGATCAAAAATGGGAATTCAGAGTTAGAGCCATCTGTTCACGACACTAGGGATGAAGGAACCGCTGATAATTGGGTTGAACGGAACGCTTCCTTGATTCGTCTCACTGGAAAGCATCCATTTAACTTCGAACCACCCTTGAACCGGCTCATGCACCACGGTTTTATCACTCCGGTCCCACTTCATTATGTTCGTAACCACGGACCAGTTCCCAAGGGCAGGTGGGATAACTGGGCCGTGGAAGTCACGGGTCTAGTGAAGCGCCCTATGAAATTCACAATGGACCAGTTGGTTAACGAGTTCCCTTCTAGAGCATTGCTCGTTACGCTTGTGTGTGCTGGCAACCGAAGGAAAGAACAGAACATGGTTAAACAAACTATTGGTTTCAACTGGGGTGCCGCTGCCGTTTCAACAACTGTATGGCGCGGGTTACCCCTCCGCGCTTTGTTGAAACGGTGCGGTATTTATAGCAGGAGAAAAGGGGCGCTTAATGTTTGTTTCGAAGGTGCGGATATATTGGCCGGAGGTGGCGGTTCCAAGTATGGAACCAGCATTAAGAAGGAATTCGCTATGGATCCGTCGAGAGATATCATCGTAGCTTACAGGCAGAATGGAGAAAAGTTGACGCCAGACCACGGATTTCCAGTTCGGATGATTATTCCAGGATTCATTGGTGGAAGAATGGTGAAATGGTTGAAAAGAATTGTAGTCACTACCCAAGAGTCAGAGAGCTATTATCATTACAAGGATAATAGGGTTCTTCCTTCTCATGTTAATGCTGATGGTACGTAATTCTGAATTAAGATGACTAATTTGTTCGTTTAATATAATTATGAATTTAATTTATCCGAAAGATATCTATAGCTAACACAAGAAAAGGTGAAAATAAGACAAGCTACATGTTTCAATACATTATGTTGTCTACTGAGAGGATTTAATATATACTAGTTTTAGGATACGTGCGGTGCGTGTACCTTATCTCAATGAATATAAAATTATAAAGTTAGATAAATATTAAAATTTGTGTTTGAGTTATAAAATTAAATCTAACAAAATATTAAATTATTATCGCAAAAGGTATTATTCAATCGTTATATTTTTTATTAACTCTTTTTCGTTTTGGAATGAGCTTTCTTTTTCTATCCAGCACTACTAAAAATCTGCTAAAAACCGACCAACTATTTCCGACCAACGTTGGTCGGTAAAAAAAAAACGACCAAAAACCGTCCAGGTTGGACGGAAACTGGGAAAATTTTTTTTTATATTTTTTTAAAACTAAATACCGACCAACGTTGATCGGTAAATTGGTCAACGAATTGACCCAGCTGTTCAGACAAGAAAATTTTGGATTACCGACCAACGTTGGTCGGTAATCTAGATCCAATTTTTTAAATTTTAATAATTATTTTATTATTTAAAATATTTTATAATATCTAAGAATTTATATTTAAAATTACCGACCAACGTTGGTCGGTTAATATAGGGGAAGCATTTACCAACCAACTTTGGTCAGTAATTGTTATTTTCTGCAAAATAACCGACCAACGTCAACATTGATCAAACTTTCGAATTACTTTTATATTTACTATCTAAATAATATAAATGTA